CCAAGGCAGAGGATTTGAAAAACTCTGGAGAGAATGAGCCCAGCGACGGTGTCCCTCAGCTTGGCTTGTGACATGCAGGGTTCACGGCTTGTTGGTTTTAGGGTTTTAGGGCTTTAGAGATTTAGGGCATAGAGTTTCAATACTTTAGGGATTCGAGGGTTTTTAGGTTTCAGGGTTCAGACTCTAGGAGGCGTTGGGGTTCAAGGATTTGGCTTCAGAATCGAGGGCACCCCAAGCCCTAAACCTGTCCATGACCTCGCATGCAGGTCTACAGGCTATAGGTTTGAGAAGAGGAAATGCACAACACTCGACCCTTACTCTTCAGAACAGGGGTCTTGGGCAGCAATACCAGTGCTGAGCGTAGTCCTGGTTTCAGCTGTAGCACCTAGGCGATCAAGTCGAGCGATATTTGCCCACAAACCTTGTAAGATTCCCGGCACCATTACCTACTGCCATTTAGCATCGATCTCTTGCGCTTGAAAGTATGAGGGATGTCCGGGCTTACTGTGTTTTGGAAGTTAAGTTGCCGCAGAAAGCGCTAACCATCTTATTTACTATAGATCCCTATTACGGTGGTTTAAGTACAGCTAAGTACTTAACCCTAAGGGTCCAAGTACCTGATTATCATATACTCTCCAAAATAGTAACCTACATCACTACTATCCCAAACCCGAGTACCTAATTGTTGGGTCCTTTGGACCCTTAGGGTAAGTTAAGAACTCAGTTTAGGGGTTAGCCAGGGTCTCGGTCCCCGTGTGAAAGGACTTCCGAGTCGAAAAATACGGATTACAACGTACTATAGGGGCCTTAGTAATTAGAATAGGGTTCCTTTAAAGGGCTCCTTTAAGGACTACTGTAAGGGCTCTATGAGGGGTTTAGGGATGTAGGTGCCTTAATAACTAGACTCGGGTTTTGGGGCCCATTATACTCTGATTACAATAAGGAACCTACCTTGTAGCATATTATGCGATTGGGGCCTGAATGGTTAGAATAGGGCTTTAGGGCATATTATACCATGGTTTCATAATCGGGAACCCTAAAAATACTGTCGGTATTTATGTAGGCCCCCATATTACACTTGCTGCATAGCCTCAACCTCTGAACCGCTCAAACCCCAACACCCGGGCGTGGAGCGTGCTTCGCTTTGGGCTTGAGGGTGTACGTGAAAAATGGGGTGTTTTAGGGGTCAAGGGCCCCAGGTTTTAAACCCCTAAACCCTAAATCCGAAATCCCCGCTCTAGCAACTAAAGCCTCGTGCACTAGACTGCCGGCCCGCAGCTCTAAAGCCGGAACCCCCACGGCCCAGAGCCCTAAACGTTCAAAGTTTTAGGGGGTTTAGGGTGTAGGGTTGCTCAGTGAATCAAGGTACTTCGGTTGATGATATACATCCTGCATTACCCGGTACCATAAGTTCCATAGCCTAGGGTCATTAAGGTAATGCAGGATTTACATCAGCAAGCGTTGTAATCTTGCTTGTAGGATCTACGGTTTAGGGTATGTGCATAAGCCCTACCGGCCCGAAAGCCCGAAGACGTAGCTCAAAGAAAGCCCGAGGTGCTTCTTTCGCAGCTCATCCAGCTGCTTTCCCGGAGACAGAAGTGCGGCACTTAGGTCGGGGTCGAATCTTTAGGGTTCAAGTTGCTTTAGGGATCTTAAGGGGCTTAAGGCGTTCCTCTAAAGGTAGGGTGCAGGGTTTACGGCTTAGGGTGTGGGGTCTCTCTCTCTCTCTCTCTGTCTCTCTCTCTCTCTCTCCCTCTCTGTCTCTCTCTCTCTCTCTCTCTCTCTGTCTCTCTCTCTGTCTCTTTCTCTGTCTCTCTCTGTGTCTCTCCCTCTGTCTCTCTCTCTCTCTCTCTCTTTCTCTCTGTCTTTCTCTCTCTCTCTCTCTCTCTCTCTCGCTTTCTCGCTCTCTCTCCGTGTTTCTGAAATATCGCCATATACATAGAAACCTGTGTTTTGTGTTGTTTTTGTTCAACTCTCGAATCTATGGTTACTTCCACATAATCAGCTGAGGGACAAATTCACTTGTCTTTGTACCCGTGACATACATACATATGTACATACATACATCTATGCATACACACATCGATGCATACATACATACATACATACATACATGCATACATGCATACTTGCATACTTGCATACTTACTTGCACACATACATATGTACTTACATACATACGTACAAACATAAAAGCACAAAGATACATACGTGCATACATACCTATATACAGACACTGACATGCATACCGTACATACCTACATCCATGTACGCATGCATGCACATACCTACTTTCATGCTGCACAATGCTTGCATACTTGCATTCTTGCATATAGGCATGCACGCTCGCGTACATGCATTACATGCACACATGCATACTTGCGCACATGCATACATGCGGACACAGTGATGCATAAATGCATAAGGCACTGCCTACTGCTGTCGGACCTCTCCGTCCTTCTGCCCAGTTCGTTGAGGCTGGTTCTTAACCCTAAAACCTCTAACCCCTGAACCCTCCAACCTTCGGACTTAGATCCCAGTAACAAGAACCATAACGACTTGTGGAACAAATCATGAACCCTGGCCCTGAACCTTGTAAGCCTGCTTTTGCCTGGATGCGGTATTCCTTCAGAAACGGCGACGTGAATAAGATGCTCCAGAGCGCACGACCCTAAAGAAGCACTGGGAGAACAGTAGGCAGCATAAGAATTTCAACGCACAAAGGCTCACGAGTCGTCAAATACATTCCAAGCACACAGCCCCCTCCAGAATAGCTCCACTTGAAGAAAACACTTGTTACCCATGCAGAACGCCTAAGCTCTCGCTGAGATTGCCCGAAGACTCTATTGCCCGTCCTGCATACCTAGGCGGTTTAGGTTTTATTCTAGAGTCTATAATGTGATTGGTGAGACTTGCAGGAACCAGATTGAAGTGGAATGAGCCAAGCCGTGGAATCAATTGTTATGACTCGCTGTCTTTGTTAATGTTTCCCAGTGAGCTTCCAAGCCCGACAAGACTCCTCTGAAGAAGCCCTCATATCCGAAGAAAATACTAAGTTTGTAGGATTTTTGCGTTTTCGCCTGAGGTGCATGGGGGTTTACGGTTTTGTGTAGTTTGAGATGCATTGGAGACGCTGAGAGCTCCCTCTCAGGGTTTTGTAATGCGGATGCTGCAATCTAGATTCGAGGTCAGGATGCCATGGTAGTTCCTTCTTGGGATTACCTTATAGGATTAAAAATATGAACCCCAGAAAGGAACTACTATGAGGCCTATGGTCCCTAGGGTTTAGGGTTTTAGGGTTTCAGGATTGAGGTGGTCCATGTATACACGTAGTAGGCACTGAAGTACATATAGAGGGCCAACTTGAATGCCAAAGTATATGCTATATATGTTCATGGACTCTTGCAGCAAGGGCCCAAAAGTTGGAAACCCAATAGCTTCAATCCGTAAGAGTAATGTATAGGGACTCCCAGCACTAGTTGGGCTTAATCCGGTTTCCAGCTTTTTGGGGTTTACCGTACCCTAAACCCTGAACCCTAATTGAGACTCCCAGTTAGCTATAGGGCCATCAGCAGGGCCTCTGCTTTTTCTTCTGGAGGGGCCCTTCTTCCCAGAGGTTCCAACATGCCTCAATTAAAGAAGATTCCTTAAAGCATATTAGGGATCCTACTATAAATGACGGTCTATTCCATGAAGAAGGGATACTGAAACCTCTGGGATGAAACTGGAAAAAGGGCGCCCTTACTGTTATGCGGTCACTCGGGACCCTCCTTGGGGGCTCGGCCAAAAGGAGCACTTGTAACCCTAATCCCAAACCCTAAACCTTCAAATCTGAAGTCTAAACAACCGTAAAATTAAACCCTAAAACCCTAAAGCCCAACATCCTGACCCGAAAGACCTAAACCATGCAAGATTCTTCCGGTAGATCCCCTTGGAATCATGGTCGTGCAGGCGGTGGCTAAACTTAAAACTCCTGGGTTCTTGCTAAGGTACTCAATTTAAGTTATCAAAAATGGGATCTATAGAAAATAACTATGGCTTCCAAGCACAAGGATGCCCGGTAGTACCCTTATCCCCTGTTTGTAGTCCAGGTTCCTTATAAAGTTACCCAGTACCAAAAAGGGAGCCCTTTTTGTTCCTAGGTTGCTGGGCATCCTAGCAAACCCTACAGGCCTGAAGCCCGAACACGTAGGGTTTAGGGTTTAGGGTTTAGGGTTTACAGTAGGAGCTCAAAAGTTGGAAACCCAGTAGCCTCAATCCTTAAGAGCAATGCATAGGGAATCCCCAGCACTAATTGTCCCTGATCCAGTTTTTAACTTTTTGGGGTTTACTGTAGGCCCTACCTGTAGCCGAAAAGATGCACCTTTCTAGGGTTCTTTATTGTGATTTCCTTCTACGAGTCCCGAAGAAAGTAGGTTGTATGGGGTTTAGAGTTCGTTATTGCTTGTTCAGGCCCCTATACACAGTCTTAGAGCCTAATGTGGGTGCCTAAATTAATTACCAACACTATTCTGGGGGTTCTTATTATATTCATAGTATAGTATGGGAGTTTCTGAAAATTAGGGATACCATATTTTGGGGTCCTTATAAGAGGGTCCTACTATTTAGGGTACTATATCAGGGTCCACACGCCAACGCCCTATTCTAACCATCAAGGCATCGGTGGTTAGAGCCCCGCCTCCTTCGCAGGAAGCGGGCTAAAGACCACGGGGGCCTGAAGAAGTGGATCCAGATCTATCACACGTACACCCGGCCAATGGATGAAGGAGGTTGAGGATTGAGGAGTTTAGGGTTTTGGGTTGAGGGTTTAGGGTTTGTAGGGTTTAGGGCGGTTTAGGATGATTTAGGGTATTGGAGGTAGGGGGGTATGAAGCCATACTTAAGCCCACAGTATGGCATAGATGTCTGCTTCCGAATGTTTCTGTGTTCAGGCAGCCTTTTCAGACCAGGATTAGGTCCGGGTGCTTAGTGCTCATCAGCTTTGCGTGCTTTAACAGCTCATGGACTCTGGTGGCAGTTCTCCCAGGCTGGATGCCAGCTTTCTCGTGGTGACTGGGGCCTTTCAGATCGTCTTTGTGTGCAGGCTGGTATACTCCGGGCTGCGCCACCGAGGCTACCTGTGCTCTGCGGCCCGAAGCATCATAAAGACTGTGGCACGGTCATTCCAGCGACCGAAGCTGGCTGACGATGAACGGCTCGTGCTGGAACAACTGAGCCAGGTTCGTTTACATATAACTCGCTGGTATGTCAAGTGCGGGTGCGTCATGCTTGCATTACCTCTGTGCTTCGTCCAGTGGAATGTGCTGATGGCCAGCCAGAGACCTACTCAACTGCCAGCTAGTCTCACTTGGTCGTGGGCCGGGGTTTTCTGCGTCTGTACTGCTGTGGACATGTTTCCGGCTGTCCTTTCTGTGCGATATCTGAACATGTACTATGCATTGGCATCAGTCGTCTGGGCAGCGCATCTATCTCCGTGGCATGTGACACCTGAGCGAAGCGCAGAAACTAGACTCGCAAGTAACCTTCGCAGGTTTGTTGGTAAGTGCAAGACTGTTAGGGATTGAAGGGGCAGGGGTGCGGTGTGTAGCATAGGGACCTAAATAATTACCTACAGAGGTTCCTTTCTATGGTTATAGCAAAATATGCCCCAAAACCTTATTCTAATTCTTAAGGCGGCCCCTACATCCCTAATCCCCTCATAGAGCCCTTATGGAACCCTCAAAGGACCCTTTAAAGGAACCCCCTACTCTAAGTGTTAAGGCTAAGGCCCCTACATTCGATGCCCTATTGGTGTCCGTTTCGAAGGAGATCTCTCTCTTCATTCTGGGCCTCGGCCGCGTGCCCGCAGTTGGTATTGCTACTTCCCCGGTCGTGGTCGCTGCATGCAGCCTCTTGCCGCTGCTAGTGGTGCTATTCCGTGCGGGCACGGAAGCAATGCCACCCGTCAGCATTTTTGCAGAAGTCTGCGGCTTCGTCGCAACCGTGTGCGCCTCTGCATCGTTGCAGCTTTTGCTGAGTTATCGGATAGAGCGCAGTCTGCAGTACAAGAAGATGGAAACGGACTTCAACGCTGCATCATCTCTTCTGCACCTGACTTGCGACGCCGTGGTCGAGCTGGATGCTGATCTGCGAATGACAGAGCACAAGGCCTCCCTCTCTGCTATGCTTCTCCGATGCCGGTCAGGAGGCACCTTGGCTGGCATGGACTTCACGGACTTGCTTGCAGGTGCTGCTGAGGCCAGCCGTGTTGTGGAGTTGCTGCGGCGCTTCGAAGATTGTTCCCCTGAGAGCGTAAATGCCCAGGCCTTTCTGACGCATCTCATGGATAGCGACTACAATAGGTTTCGCACGGAAATTTTTCAAGTAATGTATCACACACCGCAGGGTGTCGCTAGGCACCTCATTGGCCTCCGCGACGTTACAGACCAGGACTCCTTGGCAGGCAGCAAAGTTGTCGAGAGCATGCTCATTGCCCCTCGCTCCATCACACCCATGTCTGCGGGGGCATGCAGCTCCCTGGACTCACAGCCGAGTGCGCCTGCAGCGCCATTGCAGACGGGTGCTCTTGCTGAAGACCGGTTTCTTTCGATCCTAATCGACATGGACCTTCAGATAGTCCAAGCATCATCGCTGCTGCCCTGCCTGGGCAAGCATCCGGCATCCTTGTTCTCTGCGGCTGGAGTGGAGCTTCTGGAGCGGAGTTGGCGTGAAATGGACACTGGCAGCTCTGCTTTGTCATTCTCTGCGTTGGAGATACGACTTGACGCAGCAGATGCTTGTCATCTCGTCAGCGGCACTTTGCAGCTAGTTCAATCAACAAGTGGCTCTCGGAACCTGCTGCTGGTTTGCATCGCACCGCTGAGTGTCCGGATGGCTCCAAATTGCGAAGTCGAAGCCGACGTGGTTTCTCTCTATTTTTGAAAACAAAGACAGCCACATGCATGATGAAACATGACACCGGTAATGATCATGGCATGAGATACTATACTTTATGATGGTAGTATAGTGATTGGTGATTAGTATAGTGCTCCAAGAGTCATCTTGGTGGCTCATGTGATACGAGCTGGCATACTCGGCATGGCTGTACTTTACCAGACTGTACCAAACTATACACACATGGGTGGTTGTCAATTTTCAGGGTCCCTTTTTATATTATAGTACGGCACCTAATATTTTAGGGTACCCAAAAAGGGACGCTAATTTTGATAACCACCCACATGATGCACCCAAAGGGCGCTCTCCTAATGCGATGCAGCTAGATTTTTTCGCCCTGAGGCCGAAATCGAAATGGTGCCTCCACATTCTTGCCTTACGGTTTAGAGTTTAGGGTTTAGGGTGTTTCCAGGATTTTGGGCTTTTCGGGCTCAGTAAAGGGCTCTATGAGGGTTTTCAAGCCCCTATAAGCACAAGGGGTCTGACACATGCGTAATGATGCCACATTGCAATCCCCATGTGGGTAGGTCTCTAAACCAGGGTCCTCCATCTAGTGTCCTTTGTATGAGGGTGCCGTACTCTGTTGGGCAGCTGAAAAGGGACCGAATTTAGCCAAATGCTGATACAACATGTACCCTGCCCTAAAAGCTTCTCAACAGTTTAGGGTGTAGGATTGTGGGTTCAGGTTTTCGGGTAAAAGTCTTCAAGAGCATTGGCGCATTTTCGGGTAGTATTAGCATGATCAGCAACGTCATGATCATGCTTCTCTTGCTGTTGGCATTGTGACTAAAGCAGAAGCCAGAAAGTTGGAATATGATTCCCCTAAGCACTTTATGGTAAAATACAGGGTATCCTACCATTAATCCATATTCCAACTTTCTGGAGTTCCCTTTATTAGACTGTTAAGGCCCAGTTATGCCACGACATCGGCTTGAACCCTAAACCTTGACCCCTAAACCCCTACCTTTATCGGGAGTTTGTATGGGAGTTTCCGAAAATAGGGGACTCTAACATAGGATCCTTGTTATATATAGACCCCAAAATAAGGTACCCCTAGTTTTCGGAAACTCCCGTATCGTTCCCTGGCAGGCTCACACCTCGAACCCACGCCCTAATTTCCCAAGCCCTGATTGCAACTCTTCAGCGGCAATCCTCACCTAATCATTATTACAGGGTCGGAATAATTCGAAACAAAGCCCTGTATTCTCAACAAATATTTCCTACAACTGAATCATACTACCGCGATGTAGGGGTCGGATGAGTTCGAAATAGATCCTGGTATCAGCAAACCAATGCGCAAGATATACCCTTATAGTTAGTCCGTACCCCCCAATAAAAAAAACGTTACTCTAATTGTGAAGGCCCCTGTGTCGGAACCCTTATTAAATTAAAGCAAAACTTACAATCATCCTGCAGACATCGTTCAGAGCACAAGCAGCCCTGCAAAGGAAGCTAGTCCCTTATACTCAACCATGAAGTCGATACTAAACCTTACCTATAGTCTCCATTGTAGTTCCTTTTTTTGGTTTAGCCAATCTTATAATTAGGATCCTAGATGGTAACCCTAAAAAGGAACTGCAATGGACACTAAACCCTAAGCCCCCCTGAAGGCCTGTGCAGGAGCCCTTCAAGGCCCCCTGAGGCTTTGAGTCTAAAGGAAAAACGAAGCGAAGCCTGAGAGGAACCTTTGAAGGAACACCCTGGAAGCCGAAGCCTCTGTCAGGGGTTTAGGGCTTAGGGGTTTAGGGGTTTGGGATTAGAGTTTACCTTAAGGCTGCTGGACCCTTGTAGTGAGATCTCGGACCCTAGCCCCCAAAGCCGAAACGCTTCCCCAGAAAGCCCAAGACCCTCTTAGGAGCCTTAGGGTAGGGTTTAGGGGTTTGGGGTGTAGGGTTTAGAGTTTATAAGGTTTAGGGATTTAGGGTTTAGAGTTCAGGGTATATAAGGTTTAGGGGTTTAGAGTTTAGGGTTTAGGGCTTAGGGTTGATCCGCGTGCCAGTCTCTTCCAAGTCACCGGAGAGCCTGGGAAAGAGCTCGTGATCCTGGCAATCAGAAGCTTGGCCTAGGGTCGAAAGTTGGGGTCCCTTCTGGGGTCCCTAATGAAATTCGGCCCCGATATGTAGGGTACCCAAAAAGGAACCCTAATCTTGTTGGGCTGTAGGTTTGTGCGTTTAAGGTCTGCCCCAAGGATGACGATAAGACGAACATTAGTATGTAGAACCTGGCAGCAGTAGCTGCTTCAAAACAAATGCGGGCGGTGATAGCAGGGTGTTGGGTTTACGAGCTCTTGGGGGGCTGAGGGCCAAATACTTGCGGTTTAGGGCGCAGCCCTTTTGCTTGAGCACAAAAGCCACCACGAAGTTCGATCTGTAGGGTTTAATCCAGGCTCCCTGAAACAAGTGTCCACCAGGAGGGCCTTAGTGTTCGCAACTGGTCAAACCCCGTCTGGCCTAAATCCAGCCTCCACGACCTTCCTTCAGGAACGCAGCCGAAAGCTCACAGGGCTTTTAATGAATGCACTTCCGTGTCTTCCCTAAACCCTAAAGGGGCCCTGCGTAAACATCTGGGATGTTGCTTGCTGCCAAGATTCGTCGTCTGCATCGGACAAATTCCCGGAGCCGACGAAGACTGCTGGACTCTCAGACCTTCGAGGTCTAACGACCTCAGTTTGGGGGTTTTATGAAGCCTTGGGGGTTTTATGAAGCCTTGGGGGTTTTATGAAGCCTTGGGGGTTTTATGAAGCCTTGGGGGTTTTATGAAGCCTTGGGGGTTTTATGAAGCCTTGGGGGTTTTATGAAGCCTTGGGGGTTTTATGAAGCCTTGGGGGTTTTATGAAGCCTTGGGGGTTTTATGAAGCCTTGGGGGTGACTTACTTTGTGTTGTCCTTGAAGTAAGAACCGTGCTCTGCCGTCTAAAGTAAAACTTGGCTTAACGTCTCTTGGGATTCGGCTGTCATCTGTCGCACTGTCAAGCTGCATGATTAGTCGGCACAGAAGAGACTCAACATGATCAGCTTTTTGTACAGCACACCTCTTCGACAGACGTAGTCGGCTAAAGTTCAAGAGATGCTCCTTATGCACGGCTACCACTTGGTCAGACAATCCAATCAACTGCCCAGCCCCAACCATGCTCTGCTACTGCGGCCACGACACCGGCAACCACGGCGCATTTCGAATGGAAGCCTGACTCTGAATCCTTGATGCGAAACCCTTTCTGTAAGGGCCTAAATACTTACCCATACTACTCCGGAGGTTCCTTACCATCAATACGGTGGCCCCAAAACCCTGTCCTAATTAATAAGGCCCCTACATATTACAAACCTCTATGAACCTAGGAAAACCTTGTGCGCATCTGTAGAGGCTCGTATCTTTGCACAACAAAGAACCGGGGACTCCCCGACGTGGCTACTGTCGCTCTATTCCCGAAGCCCTAACCTAGGTCGACTCACCGGGTCAGTCCGAACCGCAGCAGGACAGAGGGTTTGATATTTAAAGTTCTAAGGGTTCGTTTAATGGTTCAGTACGGGAACTATCGGGTTTTGAAGTTTGTCTTTTTTGGATTCTGTTTGTTGGTTTCGTGTGCATCCTGTGTAGTTTCAGGGCTTAGCGTTTAGGGTTACTACTTCTTCTGCTGCTACTACCCACAACTGCAGCTACACTTACTTACGACTACGACGACGCATAGGCGGCACTATCACGAACGACTACTACCTCTACTACTGTTGTTGCGCATGCGGCTTGCAGAGCAGAAGTATCCCAAATCGACCCTCAACCCTGGACTGTCGCTGCAAAGCAGGAGCCTGATCCCACCCCTGTCGGGTGCCCGGAGGAAATCAGATTGGTTCAGGTCGGGTGTCGCGGTTTAAGGTAATGAGGATCCTGCTGTTTAGGGGTACTATATCAGGGTCCCTATTTTCGGAAATTCCTTTGTGAACCTAGGAATAGTAAGGATCCTACTATTTAGGGGTACTATATTGGGGTCCCTTATTTTCGGGAAACTCGGATATTCACAACAAGCCCCGAAGACCCTCCTGGTCTCGGGGGCAAGCCTGCTATTCACAACAGCATGTGTGTACATATATGCATACTACATACATAGGTACATGCATACACATATACATACATATGTATGAATGTGCACCGTAACTCGCACCATGATTCGGCACTTCATTGAGGCAATGCAGACTGTAGTACGTCACCCCTTAGGGGTTAGAGGGGAGGGGGTAGGGGACTATACTTCCTTAAATAGGCCTAATTAGGTCCTGACTATGGGCATTAAGGCCCCCTACCCCCGCTTCCCCTACCCCCTTAGGGGCCCTGAGTCACTAGTACTTGGAGGTTCATGGGTAGTTATGAGTGGAGTTATAAGTCCCGATTAACCTACCTATATAACTCCACTTATGCCTACCCATGAACCTCCAAGTAGACCCCAAACCCTATACCCTTGTAGAATCCCTATAGATCCCTTTGAAGGGACCCTTAAAGGAACCCTTATAACTACCCATGAAGCTCCAAGTATGCCTTAATAAGGACCCTTAGCTATATACCCTTAATATAGCTATTATATACCCGTTGTATAGCCCATTATAGGGTCCTAGGGGTCCCCCTTAAGGGTCCATCCTTTTCCCCTAAACCCCCTAAACCCCCAAACCTTTAAACCCTAAACCCTAAACCCCTAAACCCTAAACCCTATACCCTTATAGAATCCCTATAGATCCCTTTAAATGGGCCCTTAAAGGGTCCGTCCTTTTCCCCTTTGAAAGTAGCATGCTGGCTGCTCAGGGGGGCGAGGAGCCGGAGCAGCCGGGGCCACTGCATATGCCAAGGAACGAGGAGGCATCTCTGATCATTCAGGGCTCCTTAGAGGTTTCCTTAAAGGGCTCCTTAAAGGCTTGTAAAAGGGATCTATACTATGGGGGTTTAGGGGGAGGCATCTCTGATAAGGGCTCCTTAGAGGGTCCCTTAGAGGCTTCTACAAGGGATCTATAC